CTTACAAGGCAGTTTCAATTCGAAGAGCATCACGCTCAATCTAATCAACATTCCAAACACATCTCAGCAGCGTTTCGGGGCACTGAGCCTCGTGAGGAAACATTAGGGCAGGTGGTCAAAATCTCAGTCAAAAACTTCAGTTTTAAGTAATGTCTTAAAGGAAGAAAGTGAGGTAGACAGGGGAGGGTTGTATGGAGGGAATTGCAGAACCTGTTGCCTCACCAGCATAAGACAAGCTGAGTAATAGTAAAACAATTAAAATTAAGGATGCTCAGAAGGCCACACAGGAGCACAGAGATCTCAGATGTTTGTGGGACTGGACAAGATTACAGAGGGGTAAAGCCATGGAGGGATCTGAAAATAACAATGAGAATTTTAACATCAGGACATTGGTTGACTGGGAGCCAATGTAGATCAGTGAGCACTGGGGTGATAGGTGAACAGAGCTTGACATACATTAAAGCACAGGGAGCAGAGTTCTGCATGCCATCAAGTTTATGGAGGGTTCAATTTCAAAGGCCAGCCAGGAGCAGACTGGAATTGGCAAGTCTGGAAGTGACAAAGGTATGATGAGAGTTTTATCAATAGCTGAGGAGGTCGTGAACTTGGATGATGTTAATCAATGGGAGAATAACAAGAGGTGTGGAGAAAGTGAGGAACCTTGGAGTCCACAGATCCCTGAAGGTAGCAGGACTGCTCAATAAGGTGAATAAGAGGCAACTGTGATAACCTCTGTTTTGTTAGCCAAACTATAGAGTATAAGAGCAGGGAGATTATGCTGGAAATATATAAAGCATTCATAAGACCACAACATGAGGCCCAGACTGGAGACACGCCGCAGAGAAGAAAGACTGGATAGGCTGGAGATGTTTACCATGCAACAGATGAAGCTGAAGGATGACTTGATTGAAATGCACAAGGTTATAATGAGCCTGGGGGAAGGTGGCACAGAGGAAGGAAGGATCTATTTCCCTTAGGAGAGAGGCCAGAGAGCAGAGATCATAGATTGAAAGTGGTTGGGTGTTCAAGGTTTGAGACTCACTGCCTGAAAGGGTCAAGGAAGCAAGAGATGGATCTCCTGTTTCTGTGCCATATATAATTCTACATAAGTTTAGGAAATTAAATCCAGGACAAGTGTTATTATGGGTGTACTTGACATAGGACACATTGTGTGCTGAAGAAACAGAATATTCAGCAAAGCAAACACTGTTAAAAGTGCCGATTTAATGGCTCCATGCCCTGTGTGTTCAACTTCTATTCTCTGAGTTTCCATCTGCGCTGATGACAGAAGCTGGGCAGCAAGCAATCAAAGCACTGTTCCACTGACAAGAGCTTGAACATATGAACTTCATCAAGTTGTGACATCCATCAGGAGTTTCCAGTCTTTATTTCAATTACTACAGCCATTCAGGTTCATTCATTTGGCATATTCACTCACTGTAAGTGTTGGCAAATGCTCACTGCACAAGATTTCAGGCCCTGCCAAACATTTAATTTCCAAACACAGACTAGGTAGGCATGTGTACAGTCACAGCTGTTAGCTGTAAAACCTCCCATTGTATTCAGTTACTCCTGGAAATTTCACTGTCATTTCAAAGATTCAGATGGGCCAATTGGCAGTACAGAATTTGAACCTTGTAGAAAAAAAGGCACATTTACCCAAAGTTTCTCCTCTTGCACTCATCAGTACAATTTACCTGCTTGGCATTTAATTGTCAATCATCATTAACAGGTACATTCTTTGTGGCAACGCCTCTACCGATCACAGTCAACTGGCCAATCGAGCAGCACTCTCCTCTCATGCCGTATAAATTTTGTTTTCCCTTGCTTTGATATTTCTTGAAAACTGCCCTGATGAGTGCAAAAGTAAATCTTTTGACAAAATTTGTCTTTATTCAGCAACACTCAAATTCAAATGAATCAACTCACTTGCAATGTATGGAATTTGATTAATCCAACTCTTTCCCATTCACTTGCAGTGTATAGGATTTCAAAGGATCAAACCCTTTCCCATTTATTCACAGTTGTCTCTGTTAATCAAACCTCTATCCATGCTAACATATTACTCTAAACCCATGAACCCTAACTTTGTGTGACAACCTCTTGTATATTATTTTATCAATTATTTCTCAAAAATCCAAATACATCCTCCTCTTATCCATCCTTATAGTTAATCAAAAATTCAAAGGGCTTTGCCAAACAAAATTTCCTTTCATAAAACCATAATTTGTGAAAGAAGCAATAACGGTGAGACGAGGACAAGATTTTTCACACAGAGGGCTGTTAAATAAGATAAAAGATAAAAGTGTTAGGGCGAGGTACTGGCTTAGATAGCAGATTGGTTGACCAGTAGAACATAGAGAGTAAAGATAAAGATTGAGGATGGCAACCGGTGACTAGTGGAGTTTGACAGGGATCATACTGGTGGAGGCAGGTTGACTCAAGTGGTTGGGGTCTGGAGCGCACTGCCTGTGAGTATTGTGGAGGCAGTGCAAATTATGACTTTCAAAAAAGAATTTAGTCAAAAGGGAAAACATAGCAGGGCTGCAGGAAAACAGCAGAGGAATGGCACCAGGTGCATTGTTCCTGTACAGAGCTGCACAGACATGTTAACCGCTTCCTGTCCTGGACTGTTCTTGGGTCAATAACAATAATAATAGCAGTAACAACAGCCAAAAAAAAACAGCAACTAGAGTAAGAAATGCCCCAGTCAGCCACCAAGAATCATAGTCTTGCTTCATGTAGTACAGAAACCAGAGAGATGGGTAGTCAGCAAAGCCTGATGGTCCATTTTGCCAACATGCTAACCAGTCATAAGCATTGCCATGACTGCTCTGAATGGGGCTGGATTCACTGTTGTTGAGTCAGCAGGGAGCAGATGTGAAAGGGCTGTCTGCTCCAAGGGACCTGCCACAGCGCGTGTCACTAGTGGACAGATTATGTCTGTGGCCTATTCCCAACTTCTCCCAGACAAGCTGCAATTTCATTCACAGGGATGGGGTCATGAACCAGCAGAGAAGCAATCTCTGCTGCTTGCAACCATTTCTGTTTCAGTCTCCTCAGGTTCAGCAGACAGGGGCTCACAACATGAGCTGGGTCTGAGACTTATCGACAGGGAGACAGGATGAAAGAGTGAAAGAGAAAGCGAGAGAGAGGGTGAAACAGAAGGAGAGAGATAGAGACAGAGGGACAGAGACAAAGAGATACTTAAAGCAGAGATATAGAAATGGACAGCGAGAGAGAGAAAAAGGGATGTGAGGAGAAAGTGACAGAAAGCAAGGGTAATTAGAGGGGCAGAGAGAGGTGGTGGGGCTGGGGAGAGAGAAAGTGAGATAGAGAAAGGTAGAGACAGTGTGAGGGAGAGCATGTAATACCGCTCCCCTGTGGTGAGTTTAATTGGGGGGGAGGGGACAGTTAAACAGAGGGATAAGTAGAATATGGGGATCCACTGTCATCCCATGTTTGCACAGTTAGTGCCCACTTATGGGACTCATTCTGACATCATTGGTATTAACCCAACGGGGGGCAAGAGGGTGCACAATACAGGAACTAACAGAACCTTTGCAAGTTCAATGGCGGGCTCCTGGGGAGAATTTTGGAAGGTGGGGTGTGGAGGGTTATGCCCATTGTTCAAAGGTACTCAGTGCTTGGTCAAGGAAGCCAGGATTGGGGAGCACAAGCTCACTGAGAACCCGGGTGGTTCCTGATACCACGGGTCTCTCTGAAATGAAACAAAGCCGGACTCCCACTTAGTCTCCAGCCAACAGGACAGACAGCCACTGCTTCCATTAACCACCGCTGCTTCCATTAACTACCGCTGCCTCCATCAACTACTGCTGCCTCCATCAACTACTGCTGCCTCAAAAACTACCACTGCCTCCATCAACTACCACTGCCTCCATTAACCACCACTGCCTCCATCACCTACCACTGCCTCCATCAACTACCGCGGCCTCCATCAACTACCGCGGCCTCCATCAACTACCACTGCCTCCATCACCTACCACTGTCTCCATCAACTACCGCAGCCTCCATCAACTACCGCAGCCTCCATCAACTACCACGGTCTCCATCAACTACTGCTGCCTCTATCATCTACCACTGCCTCCAAAACTACTGCTGCCTCCATTAACTACCATTGCCTCCATTAACTACCGCTGCCTCCAAAACTACCATTGCATCCATCAACTACCACTGCCTCTATTAACTACCACTTCATTAACTGCCACTACCTCCATTAACTACCGCTGCATCCATCAACTACCACTCCATTAACTACCGCTGCCTCCATTAACTACCACTACCTCCATTGACTACCGCTCCTACAGAATATACAGCAATGATTCAATTAAACACCAGCAGCCTTTACGAGTAAAGTCCATTTCTATTAAAGGAATGAAAGTGTAAACATGAAATGTGTTTGATTTACCTTACAATGGTAGAAGTTAATGAACGGCAGTGGTTAGTTTGGACAGTAAACATTAACTACAATACGCTTCAGTCATTAATCAATAAGTTTTATGGGAGATGTACAGAAGCAGGATTCTATCTGCCTGAGGTAGAATCAGGGGCTGCCTCCTCCACACCGCATTCACAGTGAACAAAATTATAGCATTGTGTTGTGGATCAAAAAACAATCACAATAATCTACCTTCGGGCAGAGAACACAAGATGAAGTATTATCATGTGTTTAATAAATTTGTGAGCATCGATGTTTAATTCTGTGTAAACTGTTGTTTTGAAAACTAACCATAAGAACTGCCAAATAAAAGCCGAAAGAATAGTGGATGCTGTAAATCAGGAACAAAAACAGAAGTTGCTGAAGGTGACCCTTCCACAGGACCCTCACCGGACCCAAAACATTAACTCTGATTTTTCTTCACAGATGCTGCCAGACCTGCTGAGCTTTTCCAGCAACTTCTGTTTTTGTTCATAAGAACTTCCACCTTCTCACAGAACTTCCATCTTCTCACAAGTGCAGTCCCGGGACAAATACTCACCAGTTTTCCAGGCACTCCAGGTTCTGCTCCTTGACTGTGGCCTCCTGTAAATTTGGTACCTCCATGTCCCTTCAGATGTGTCGGACAAACCCCACATTGATCGCCCTGTGGACAATAACAGAAGCTATATTACTCCTGGTTCAGTATTTGAAATCTCAGCTTCTCAAGGTGAGGAAAGGAAATTAAGAAACTGTGCTGAAGGGTTTACATACCAAGAGCTCAAGAACTCAGCATGGATGGAAGATGGTAGAAGATGTAGCGACTGTAACAAGGTCAGCCAGGTGGACCTCACAAAACATGAGTTCCCTGGTTGGGGCTGTTAATCTGGTCCAATCAGGGAGCCCTGGCTGACAGATATGAACAGGAGTGTCAGAGGTTCTGTTCACTCTGAGAGCTGGCTCTGAGGGAGCTGTATCAGCGTGAAGGACTTTTCCTGTGTAAATAAAGGGTGACTAGGTGATGGGACACCAGCCTCTGTAGAGTTATTTCAGAAGGTGTTGATGAGTGAGGCAGAAGACACAGAATCATTTACAAAAAGAAGTACTGAAAAGAGAACCTGAGCAATCTTTCAGGCCCGAGGAAACAAGAATACCCAGAACCCTTTGAATCCTCAGTGTTTGATTACATGTCTCTATTGACTGCTCACTCTATATGGTTACTTAAACCTAGGTGTGGTCCCTGAGAGAGAGAGACTGTAAACATGGGAGCAGACATTTGAAAGCATTGTAGTTAAAGCTCCTACACACATAAAAACTGCTGTGTCATCTCTCAGATATAAAATACAAGCTCCTCCTTCCATCACCCAACTACCCCACCCAACACGCCACACCATCCCTTTCCTCTCAATCTATTAAAACACGCTGTCAGGGCTGTTCGATAGTAATGGGGTCCCACATTTGTTCAACGCCTGTGAGGGGTGTGGGGTGGGGAGGGGGTTTCTAAATTTATCCATGAGCCTTGGTTGGCAGGGGCTGAGTTTACAAATGATCCCTGGCAGGGGTCCCATACTTACATGGGACCTCTGATGGTGCCCACCCCCCACCCCCTGGTTTGTAATGGCCCAGATATAGCTGCGATGAGAATGGTAATTGCCTTCATTGAAATCATGATGTGGGCATTGACTGCCAGCTCACCTGATGCCCCACAAACAGACAGACAAGAGAAATGATGTCCGTTAGGTTTGGGGGTGTGAGCTTGTAACTTGTAACTTTCTAAAGAAATGTAAGCATTTTCATCCCTGACCTTCACCAAGTGCCTCTTTGGAATAAAACACAACTCCCACCACTTTGGCGAACTTGGGTTCCAGAGGAAACTGGATGAAGTCCAGCAGAGAGCTGGGATGAGGCAACAAGGCGAGAATTTGGGACTATAATCAGAAAGGTGAAGCAGGCTGAGTGTCATTTCTCCATAAAGGTGGCCTTCCTAATAATGTCATTCCCATCAAAATCCATCCTATGGTGCATCGCACCTAACTAAGTATTCTTTCCATATGAGTGTGGTCAGCTAGTATTTGACTGTGAGGGTCACTACAGCTTGGCGACTCCAAGTCCACATGTTTGCAACAGAAGAAACTGTATCAGCATCAGAAACAAATTGTCCCCCTGGTAACATCAGAAAGGCCCCTTCCTAACCCAGAGACATGGAGAACGCGTTGAAGCACTTCATACTAGGGTGAGACATCTTGATTGTCTCATGGCGATGCTGCTGCCACTCTGTCCTGTAACACACTGAGCTATGTAGTGATTTCCTGAACTACTCTCAGAGCCAGCTCAACGTTCCTCAGGCTGGGCTGGCTCAGGCTCATGGTGACTGATTGTACATCAACAAAGATTGGCAGCCAAGCCTGCCAGCTGGTTTAGAATCATAGTGACTTACTTTTTCTCCCTTTGGCCCTGGTAATCCAGGTTTACCCTAAAAACAGAGAAAAGGCCAAAGTTTTATGTCATTCAGAGGAACTGATGAAACTTTAAACACAAACATCAAAACCTGTTCACTCCATCAAGTCACATGTTAAAATTAAAATTGAATCATTTTCCTTCTGAGTATAGAGGATCACTCACCTTGTTGTAGAATACTGGACGCAGGCCGACAGGCCAGAATTATCCTGCACTGACACACAGGGAGTCTAGTCATGGTGCTCAACTATCAACCCTGCAGTTGGTAGCTCAAAGCTTAGTTCAGCAAATCGCGAAATTAAATCCAATAAATCTGATAACTTGTAGACTGGCTAAACCCAGAAGGAAAAACCAATAAAACTCAAATGACAAACAACAAATACGGGAGCCACTTGTCTTGTACACTTCAGAACAGAAGTCCAGTACATTGATTTTCAGGTATTACTGATTTATTTTCCTCTGGGCTTTAGAAACAAGCATTCCCACCCTGGGCGAGTGAACATTTCACTTCACTTCCACACTACACTCCTACTGCCCTCTGAGTGACTGAACTTGTTAAAAGAGCTTATAAAACAGAACAAGAAGACATCAGTGGTCCAAGCATTGTAGAGGGACAAAGTTCAGACAATCCAGACCTAGGAGCAGGAGTTGGTTGTCTGGCTGCTTCAATCTGCTCCACTATCAAAAAATTCCTAGCTATCTGTCTGCGGCTTTAACTCCACTTCTCTATCTGTTCCCTCATAACCCTTGTGATATTCCCTTGTGAATCAAAAATCTGCCTAAATATGATTAATGGCCCAGTCTTTGCTTCAGTCTGGCGGAGAGAATTCTAAACATTAATGACTCTGTGAGAGAAGAAATTTCTTCCCATTTCCATCTTAATTAGGAGAGCCTTCATTTGTAACTATGCCCTGCTCATTCTAGATTCCCTTGAAGATGAAACATTCTCTCAGCATTTATTCTGTGAAGTCCATCAGGATCTGAGAAGTACCAATAAGATCACCTCTCATTCCTCTAAACTCCAATGAGGATAGGCCCAATCTGCTCAACCTTCCCTCATTTGACCATCCCTTCATCCCAGAAATCAACTGAGTGAATGTCATCTAAATTGTTCCTTGTGCAACCACGTCCCTCCTCAAGTAAGTTGACCAAACTGTGCTAGCACTCTTAAGTGTAGTCACAACAACGTCCTGTGTAGTAGAAGCAAATCTCTATATGTTTCTACTTCAGCATCCCTTTTCCAATAAAAGCCAACATTCCAGTTGCTTCCTTAATTACTGCTGTATCTTCATGCCAATACAACACCATTGGTTGTGAAGTAATCTTTTATAAAGCATGTTAGCAAATGCCTTTTGGAAATCTTTATTCGCACTGTTGTTATATTCTCAAAGATCTCTATGAAATTTGTCCAACATGATTTGTCTTTCACAGAATCATATTGACCCTGCCTGTTTGTATTATGATCTTCTAAATATCCTACTTTCATCTCTTCAATGGTAGATTCTAGTATTTTTCCCATAACTGGCCTACAGTTCCCTGCTCTCTGTCTTCATCTTTGAACAGAGGTGTTCCATTTGAGGTTTCCTAATCTGTGAGGATCTTCAAATTCCAGAAGGTTACAACCAATGCATTTCCTATATCTGGCAGCTACTTCTTTTAAGAATCTAGGATGCAGCTCATCAGATCCAGAGAATTTGTCAGTCCTTCATCCCTTTAGTTTTCTCTTTATGTTTTCACTAAGTGATAGCAATTGCTTTAAGCTCTTTCCTCCCATTTGTCTCTTTCCTTTCTTCAGATGCATTTTGTGGTTTCCATTGTGATGACAGATACAAAACATTTGTTCAAAGCTCCTGCCATTTCCTGGTTTCTCATTATTAATTTCCCAGTCCTACCCTCTAAAGGACCAATATTCATTTCAGCAATTCTTTTCTTTTTTATATACATGTAGAAAGTTTAACTGTTTTTATATTTGAAACTAGTTTTCTCTCATACTCCTTCTGGTTTTACACATCTTTTGCTGCTTTCAAAACCTTCTAAATCTTCTGTCCTACTATTAATCGTTGCAGCATTGTATGCCTTTTTTTTTCAATTTGATACGATCCTTAACATGGGTTGTGCATCCTTCTTATATAGCCTTTCTTTCTCAGTAGGGTATGTATTCATTGAGAATTATGAACTATCTCTTCAAAAGTCCCCCACTGATTATCCATCATCTTACATTATAATTCACTTTTTCAGTCCACATTAGCCAACTCTATCTAAAAAACTTGCAATGGTATTGCAAGAACAAAACACTATTATGGACCTATATTACTGATTCAAATTGAATGCGAATTTCTACATGTTATGATTCCTCTTGCTGAGAGATCCTTTACTATGGGATCATTATTCTAGCTTGTTTCATTACTTGTTAACCTGTTCAAAATAGCATCACTTCTGATAGATTCCAAAATGTATTATTCCAAGAAGCTATCCCAAATGCAGTCTATGACTCATTCTCCAGATTATAGTTACAAGTTTGATTTGTCCAGCTAATTTGAAGATTAGTATCATTCATGATTATTGCCGTTCCATTTAAAAACTGTCCCCATCAAACAGGTCAGGTACAACATGGGGCTAGATACAAAGTAAAGCTCCCTTGATACTGTCCCATCAAAGATTCCAAGGGCAAGTACAGCACAGGGTTAGAAAAAGAGTAAAGCATCCTCTATACTGTCCCTATCAAACACTGTCAGGTCTGGTACAACATGGGTTAGACACAGAGTAAAGCTTCCTCTGCACTGTCCATCAAACCCTCCATGAATGGGTCCAGCTCCTCAAAACTGTCTCCATCGAACACTCCTAGGTCAGGGTTAGATACAGATTAAAACTCTCTCTACACTTTTAAACTGAAAGTAAAATTCTCTCTACGCTGTTCCAATCAAACACTCCCAGGTCATGAACAGCACTGGGTTAGATGCAAAGTAAATCTCCTGCTATATTTTCCCAAGGCAGGAACAGCATAGGGTTTGATGCAGAGTAAAGTTCTCTCTGCACATTCCCCATCGAACACTCCCTGCAACCTCTTGCCCACTCACCAGCCTCATGGTCTCCTTACTGAGATTGCTTTTTGCCAGCATCAGGCAATTGACTCTCACTGGGAGGTGCATTAATTCTGAACTGTCCCAGGCTGCTGGGATCATGTGGGTAATGAACATTTTGTCTGTCCTACAATCATGGTACTCACAGGTTTTCCTGGGATGCCTTCCGGACCAGGATCCCCATCACTTCCCTGAAGAACACAAGAAGAGAGAGGTGGAAGCTCTTAGGATACAATGAAGTTGGGCAGCTCCTGGCTGCTATTTGAACACAAAGAACATCCCTGAGACTTACAGGGAGGTCACAATCATTTGCTCTTTGACCTCATCCCTCAGCTCACCTTGTCTCATCTGCATATTTCTTGTGGAGACAAAATTATAATCCAACATTTTACATCAAGTCCTCACTTCTTTATCCGTGGATTGGCTGAATCTCTTTTCCCTCAACCCACTTAAAAGAAGAGTCCAACAACAGTGTTTAGAAGGAGTAGTGGGAAACTATGTAAATTTAGCAAAGAGGTATTTATTCAGATTCTGGATAGTGGAATGAGACCCCAAATTGGAAAATACAGTGTCTCAGGCTGCATGTGTGCTGACAGAAATAGTATGGTTAATGATTGCATCAATAACCTACCCACAGTGTGATGGAAGGTTGTGGAACTGAAACATTAACTCAGTTTCTCTGGAGAGAAACTGTCAGGCCTGCTGGGAATGTCCCAGTTTCTCAGTTTGAATTGCAAACTGCCCGGAACTGCAGTATTATTGTTTTGTAATAAATGTCATGGTGCAGATTGACTACAGCACCCGACCAACAGTTAGAGTTGGACGACTCACAGCTCAAACGGCTGTTTATAAATGCGACTGGTACAATCACCTTGGGCCCCAGGAGGATCTCTGTTCATGTCACTTCGGCTCTGTGTAAATGGAGGAATCACTTTAACATCAGAACATTGCCCTAAGACCCTCACATTACAGAGGTGGAAAAGCTCTGGCTGGTTAACTCAGTGATAGCACCCTCCCCGTCTCAGGTAGAAGACTCTGGGTTCTAGTCTCACTCTTACGACTTCAAAAATGCAGACTGACACTTCAAGGCTGCATTGAGGGAGGGATGAAATTTTAAACCTCGTCCCCAACTTTCCTTGTAAAAGATTCCACGTCACTACTTCAAAAAATAATAGCAGAGAAGTTCTCCCCAGTGGCCTGGCCAATATTTATCCCTCAATCGACACCATAGACACTGTCACACTGCTGTTTGTGGGAGCTTGCTGTTAATAAACGAGCTAACGCAGTCGCAACACCTTCAAAATATTTCACCAGATGTTTTTAAATATCCAAAGGTTGCGAAGGGTGCTGTATAAATGAGGGCCTTTCTTTGTGTTTCAATACACCCCTCTCTCCCCTCCTCATACACATGTCCTGCCTCAGACACGTGGACACCGTATTAACATTATGTGCGTACGGGGACCCTGATGTAAGCTTGACATTGGCCAGGTTTTCGGAAGGTCTATGGGGAGGGAGTGGTGTTAAGGTACTTCCACAGAATTACTATTCCAGAATGCAGGCTAATTTTCTCAGGCCATGGGTTCAAGCCCCATCCGTAGCCGATAGTGAGATTTGAATTTGATTAAAAAAAAATCCAGAAGTGACCACTATTGATAATTTTTTTTTACAAAACTCCATCTGGTCACTAATGTCCTTTAGGGAAGGAAATCTGTCATTCTTACCCAGTCTGTACAGTGACTCCATACCCACAGCAATGTGCTTGATTCAACTGTTCTCTGGGCAATTCAGGATGGGCAATAAATGCTGGCCTCGCCAGTGACGCCCATGAGCTAATAAAAAAAACCCCACAAAAATGTGTTTCTTAGATGTAGATGTAAAAGGAGTGCCCCTTCACCCTCAGAACTTCAAGGTGGCATCTGAGGTGCCTGTCTCCTCAATTACTTGCAGCTTCACTCTCCTGACCCTATCTCAGGGGTTGTAGGTGCCCATCCTAGACAGTGATCATAAATGACCTCTTACTCCTGTTCACAAAAAAAACCTTGACCTCCAACCTATACGGCCCACCCCGATTGCCCAGGACCACACGTCCTGCCTCTGGAGGCCTGCCCAACTGTCAGCTAGTCAGTCAATCAACTCCTGGAAACTCTTGCAAGAGAGTTAAAGCACGGAACCGCGTTTTAATGCTCCAGGGATTGTACTCCTCAGCTGCCCCAAAGTCATGACTTAGGGATTAATCACAAATCCCTGGAAACTGCAAGCCATTTCTGAAGGGTCGGAAACTTGCTGAAGATTGAACAACACATTTGCAAAAGTTAATGAATAAATAGTGGAGAGCAGGGTGGTGCAGAGAGAGCAGGCGATAACTAATGCACAGGGGTGTGGAGGTGCAGAGATTCTGGGATAGATCAGCACATCTGGGTCAGGGATTTTGAGCTGAGTAAGTTCCTGAAATGTACTTACTGCTTCTCCTTTCGATCCGGGTGGGCCACCAGGTTTTCCCTTTGGGACATAAAAGGAAACAATTGTTAAAGCTGCATTAACAGCAAGACATTACACTAATCTCTTTGTGCTGAGGCCAGGGAAAGAAGGAGTTAGACCTCAGTGCCTGTGCAGAGGAGCAGAAGTCTGGAATGAGGGAAGCCTTACTGTTCCAACATTGAAAACACAACACATCCAAGGGCAAAGCACAGAATGGTCAAGGAAAACTTTTCACCAGGGGGACAAGGATAAGAGTGTGCACATACAGTGTACTCATTTACAAACAGAGATGAGAAAGAATTGTTTCTCTCAGATGGCAGTGAGTGTTTGAAATTGTCTGCCCCAGAGAAGTGTGGAGGCTTTATTACTGAAAGTATTTAAAGAGGAGGTAAATCTTTGAAACATAGAGAAATTGGGGGCTATGACGAGCCAGCACAAAAGGGGAGTTGAGGCCTGGTATAAATCGCCATGATCTTATAAAATGGTGCAGTAGAATTGAGGGGCTGAATGGCTTTCTCCTGCTCCTGTTTCTTATGTTGCAAGAGTGAAGAAGGTGGGGGTGGGGATGTGGTGCAACCACGAGATCGTATTACCAACTTGGCAAAACTTTTCTGGAGGAACTGAAGATAAACTTCTAGGATGTTACTGTGAACAACATCCAGGACCAAAATCATGGAGACATTGAACATAAGAATGTTTTATATTTCCTCGTTATTTCAGTGGGGTGACGAGGGGTTGGGATGATGAGATTGATGGGGAGAGGATGCTGGGTGGGAGGGAAAGGAGTGGAAACAGTGAGGGAAATGGGAAAAGGGGTGAGGGAGAGGAAGAGCAAAGGGGTTAGTGAGAGGGCAAGGGCATTGGTAGGAAACAGGCAAAGGCAGTAGTGAAGGGAGAGGGATCATTCAGGTAGAGGGAGGGGAGGCAAATGGGGAAGAGAAGAGGAGGAAGCAAGGTGATGAAGGGAAAGAGCAGGAGTGAAGGAGGGATGACGATGGGAAAGGAATGGTGGGGTCAGGGAGGGGAGAATCAGGAGCAAGGACAGTCGTGAGGGGTGAGTAAGATGGTGCAATCGCGAGGTGCCAAAGGGAGGGGGTATAGGGGCTTGTTGCATTGAGTTGGAGTGATGCAAAGGTGAAGGGAAGAGTCAGAGGGATGTAAAAGTGAAGGGAAGAGAAGTAGAGGGGAGGGAGTAGGGTCAGGAGAGAGACATGATGAGTGGGAGGATAGGGAGGGGGAAGGGAAGGTGAGGATGAGGAGGAAGGATGGCAAAGGGACAGGTAAGGAAGGGGAGAGCATGGTGAGGGAGTAGGGGGTGCGGTGTGGTGAGGAGGAATGTGTGAGGATCACCAAAGAGAGGAGTGTGATCACTACTGGGTTGGATAGTCGAGCTGAAGTAATACTCATTCCATTGGGAATCTCAGGGAAAGGGTGGAGAAGCTGAGTGTGGTGCAGGCTCCTCTGCCACCCTGACCCTGTGCTGCAGTACCATTATGGATCTGCACTCTTGCCATTTCTGCTGCGTGACCTGTCACATAGCCCCCTCGGCTGCTGTTCCTCACTCCGTCCTGCAGCCAACACTCACCGGCTTTCCTGGTATTCCTATCCCCGGGGGTCCTGGAGGTCCTGGGGATCCTGGCTCACCAGCCAATCCCTCCGGTCCAACTGGTCCGGGATCTCCCTAATAAAGAGAACAAACAAACATCTGCTGGAGACTGCCACAGTCACTGTTCTTAAAGGTACATTCCCTGACTAACCTGGGGATGTGAGGGTGGAGGTTGTTAGCACTTTTGAAAGGAAAACCTGTCTTTTTCCAGAACTGAGATGGTGGAATGGGCTTTTCCACAGTGAATGATGCTGCTACCTCTGAAAGAAATGTTACGTTGAAAGGGTGTCCTTTGAACCCAACGAGCAACAAGTTGCCTCAACTGATGGATACTAAGTTATGAGGCCATCACTCTGCCACAACTGCAGGATTTCTGAGTCAAAAGCAGATCTAAGAAACAATGACTCAGAAATGGTAGGAACTGCAGATGCTGGAGAATCTGAGATAACAAGGTGTAGAGCTGGATGAACACAGCAAGCCAAGCAGCATCACAGGAACAGGAAAGTCAATGTTTCGGGTTGGGACACTTTATCAGAACTTGTAAAACCATACTGCGAAGCCAGCTCTGAAGAAGGGTGTAGGCCCGAAAAGTCAGCCTTCCTGCTCCTCTGATGCTGCTTGGCCTGCTGTGTTCATCCAGCTCTACACCTTGTTATCTCAATGACTCAGATGTGGTTTTATCTTCAAGCACTTTGTAATACTGACAGTCTCTGACAATACTGAAGCAGCTCAGGGAAAGGAGTTGGAGATGCACCTGTTATCTTGGTAAAAGCTGAGAAAAGTTAAGCTGTACAAACTATTCTGAAGTAAGCATTAAATGTTTGGGATGAGCACTGGCTCCAGAAATGATTTGATTTTTTTAGGAATCTGCTCTCACAAAGGGGTGATTCCATCTCCCTGTGCCTGCCTTCAGGTCGTAGAAAAGGACAGGTAGAGATACACTGAAACATATTTGCGTTGTTCCAAAGTAAGAGCCAAACATTGGTGTGAGATCCCCAACTCTATGACTTGTTTACCCTGAGGCATCTGGGCCTCAGTGAAGCCAGGCCAAAAATGGCAAAACAGAGTGTGTCCTTAAAGGAGGTTCTGATGGCCATAACCAACAGAGTTATCGACACACTTGAATGTGAAGCCACGCATGGTCCAACTGCACCTGGAATGATGTACTTTTACTTACTGTTCTCCATCCCACCCACATGATTGCCAATATGCCCAGATTTTTCAACCATTTACCATCTATCTCTGTGTTTGGCAAACTCTATTTTAGTGCACCTTTGCCCACTTCTGACTAGCAAAACCAAGAACATCTCTTTGCATTCCCCTTCTGCATATCCCCGTTTCCTTGAGAATTGCTCTGCCACTTTCCATTCCTCTCTCATCCTCTTACTGACAGTCAGGGCCATCCAAATTTCAAGGAAGAAACCAGCAGTGGACGAACCGTTAGCTGGTAGAGGAAGAGGGTGAACACATTTCAATCTATTTCTGACTATACACCCAGAAAGCAGACACAGGCTGATGGAGTCATTCCCCTGTGAGAACAGCTTCCTGAAAATGAACCATTTTTTGGAACTAATGCTATAATTACACCTTGTTGTGCTGCAAAACAGGGAGACATTTAGCCACTATCAAACCTATATAAACCTCACCAGCAGATAAAAGCTTTATTGGTACAGGTGAAGGAGGCAGTTTGCTCAAACTTAGCTCATATCCTGTGGAACATAATCTATTGCCTCAACTCCCAACACTGCATTGAACAGGCTTTTAAGTTACAGATATTAATTACCATTTCGCACCCAGAAACCATTCCAAGAATTGATCACTCTTCACATGAAGAATATCTAAGTTATCCAAAATTGGTTTTTCACTAGAGTCCCCTGCATCCCTTGATTGGCTGTATTTTGATGCATTGCTCCAAACTGAGGTTACTCTAGACTATTAAATAAATCAAGGCTGGGAATTCTATGCAGAAGTGACTCAATGCCTGACTCTCCAAAATCTGTCCACCATCTACAAGGCACAAGTCAGGCATTTAATGGAATACAACCCACTTGCCAGATGACTGTGGCTCCAACAACACTATTCAGGATGAAGAAGCATGCTTGCATTGTGGGTCTACCTACAGCATATGGACTGCAACAGTTGAATGAAACAGGTAATTCACCACCACCTTCTCAAGGGCAATGCAGGACAGACACTAAATGCTGGTTCAGCCAGCGATGCCCAGAATGAATATATAGAAACCTTGCTTACCTTTAAATATCTTTGCTAGCTTAGTAATGATAGAGCGGATATCCTCCGCCAGTCTCGCCCCTTTAAGGTTAAGGACCTCCCTTCAGTATTTCTTCATTACTCACTTGTTTGAATTTAAGAAATTCCTCCCAACTAGTTTTTCTATGGAGTCAAAAGCCTGAGGGGTTAAAAGTCTGACTCGGAATTCCAGTATGAAATAATTTCAAACCTTCACATAGCTACAGCCTCACACTCCCAACAACATTGAAAAACAGTTACAGATTACTGACAAACCTTTGCACCTTTTGGTCCAGACACGCACAACTCTCCCGGCTTTCCCTGAAAACACAATTAGAATGGCGATGAAGAACAGAGCAAACGTGAGCAATCACTTTCAACACAAACCAAACCTGATTCTGGGACAATGGCTCCCACTTCCCTGCATGCATTACTGCAAGCAACATGTCAAATGGGAAGGAGATTGGAGCAGTGGGTCATTTTGTCTCGAGGGAAGAAACTCTTTCTTTAAGAATCCCATTCTTAATGGAACAGCCCCACTGGGCTCTGACTGTTCACCAGCTCACTCAAATTCTCTTTCTCTACAATCATAATTAGTTCCAGTACAGGGCCAGTCCATTCAGCCCATCAAATCATTCCAGTGATTTTGCCCATATGAGCCCTTCCAGGCAAATCCCCCTCTCCTGTTCACTGCCCATACTCTTTACTGTCCCAGTCAAATTCAAATCTCCTGCTTACTCCTCACTTCCTTCAATTTTCTTCTTTCTCATGCACTGTGTAATTTCCTTGTAATACTCCCTTGAATTTTGCTTTAACAGCAATTCACACTTCTACCATTCAGAGCCATTTTACCACTATATAATAATGTACAAATGATGCTTAGTGCTCAGTACCTGTTTCACTTTCCCACTCTGGATGTTGACAGCTCCAAATACAATGGTTCAAAGTCTCCCAAAGCGGAATCAATCTGTGCACGTCACCCAGCAAATTGGAAACATGGCAGCATAGTGGCTCGGGGTGGCATGGTGGCTCAGTGGTTAGCACTGCTGCCTCATAGCACCAGAGACCCAGGATCAATTCCACCCTCGGGCAACTGTCTGTGTGGAGTTTGCACATTCTCCGTGTCTGCGTGGGTTTCCTCACACAGTGCAAAGATGTGCAGGCTAGGTGGCTTGGCCATGCAAAATTGCACATAGTTTTCAGGCATGTGTAGAGTAGATGGGTTATAGCGGGATGCTCTGAGGGTCAGTGTGGACTTGTTGGGCTGAAGGGCCTATTTCCACACCGTAGGGATTCTATGAAATGTCTATTTCAAGCCTTAAATAACAGGCATAGTGAGAACCAATTTCAAGATCCCCAATTTTAAATTTTACCGTGCCATTTTGTGGGACAGAATTTTATAAAACTGTTCAAACCTGAAAGACTGACAAAGATCCCACAGGAAAGGGAAACTGTTTTTCCTTACTGAGTCTGGCTTATAGGTGACTCCTGTCCATGTTATGTGGTCTCAGTGTTTGGAGGTCAACAACTAATGCTTTGGGACAAATAGGAAAGGTTCAGAGGGACATGAGCCAAAAACAGAAAATTGGGACTAGTTTAGTTTGGGAAACCTGGCTGGCGTCAAGAAGTTGGGACCGAAGGGTCTGTTTCTGAGCTGTATGACCAATGGCAGTGCTGTTTACATCTCAAGGATAAAGTTAATTTATAACTCTGCTGCATCTCATTTCAAGTTGACCATTACCAGCTAATGATGCACCATTTTTTTCAAGTTAACAGATCAGGCTGGATCTTTACTCATTAATCTTAGACGAAGATTGGACGAGCAAACTGGAGGGCTGATTTCAAATCTCAGTGTGATGATCTGAGAATGTTGTGGTTAGGAGCTGGGAGTTTTATATCAATCCAACAGATACACTAACACTTCGTGGGAAAGAAACTGGCTGTTCTGCTGCAGTGCAGCCTGTTCAGTGACTCACTGCCAACGTGGCTGCTTGTGATCTCCGTAGCGATCCAGCAAGCCACACTGTCTCAGCAAAAAGGCCCATCACCACCACTCAGGAACACATGCCACAAAATGAACAGAAAAATTATCTGGTCATCATTATAGTCCCAATGTTAAACTTCAACTGAACGCAGACCAACCTTTCCAGGTAATGTCACCGGACTAGTAACTCAGAACCCCAGTGTTTTGGGGGCATGAGTGTAAATCCCAACAGTGGCAGCTGGTGAAATTTTCATTCAATAAAGTCTGGACTTTAAAAAGTGAGTCTAATAATGCCCACATAACCATTGTCAATCATTGTAAAAATCCCTCGAGCCCATTAATGTTCCTTAGGGTTGGAAAAGTGCCATCCCTTCCTGGTCTAGCCAAAAGTGACTCCAAACCCACAGTAAAGGGGTTGACTTATCACTGTTCTTTAAAATGGGCAAGAGAGCCAAACAGTTCAAGGGCAGTTAGGAATTTGCATCAAATGCCAGTCTTGCCAATGATGCCCACATCCCATACAAGAATAGAGGGAAAAAAAAACAAGTTGGTTGGGTAGAAGATGAGCTCAAACTTCCAGAACACCAACCTTACACTCTACTTGTTACAACCTCTAGGTGTCTCCTAAATCTATTCCATCCCTTGAATCCAATATCCCCACATGGGCTTTAGTGAATCTGTACCAAGTTCTGTAATGGAATCAGAAAAGTCAGAATACTCACATCTCTTCCGGGCAGGCCAACCGATCCCTTCGTTCCTGGTTCACCCTTTTGACCTTTCTCTGACTTCATGGGCTGAGAGAACATTCTCAATTTAGACACAAATAAATGCAGACAATTCAAAAACTTTCAAGACACAGTTAAAAACCTAAAGCTAATCGTAACGTAGTAACTCCGTAGTCTGACCACTGGAAGTTATCCAATTAGAAATGGTATCGGAACTAGTGGCCTAATGCACACCTACACGGGAATGAGACAGGATCTGAGCCTGTCAGCCCAAGGAATTAATATTCACAGGATGACAGCCTTGGTACCCAACCTTTGAAAACTCCAATCCCTCTGTTTTTGTTTGTAAATTCAGCAGATAGGCAGGTTGGTAACAGTCTAATCCATCACCTGAAGGACTGTGTCTCCTACAGGGCCACATTCCCTAAGCAGCACTCTGGAGTGCCAGCCTGGATTGTTTATTGAGATCCAGCTGCAGTTTTTAACCTAAATCCATGATTGCTGCCAACTGATTCCAGCTGGTACACACATGGCAGGTGAATCAAAGCAGTGAGGTGTGACCATGAAAGAAGGAAGATGCCACAGAGTGAGTCCATTTTAACAGCAACTTGTACTACCTTCATCCTTTGCAAGCACCTCTGCTGTCAGAAGTTGTTTAGACTTAGCGGCAAATTAGAAAAAAGACAAACAACATTAAGGTTAAGAGTTCTACTTGATAGCACGGACTTTTTTTGATGTAATTTCCTAAATTTTGCTGGAAGTGGACCAACGTTCGGCCAATCTTAAGAATAATTTGAAAATGGAATGTAAGTTTGGCCCTGGTATCCATCAAAGACTTATTTGGATCTGAGAAATCCTCCCCGCCTGAGGAGTGAGTGCTGATCATTCTCGTGTCCTTCCCCTTGTAAGATCTGTCTGCACGGCCAGCAGCTGTGACTCTGAACCCCTCGGGAAGGGTGCGTGGGAGGTAATAACAGGGTCTCTCCTGACCTGTCAGTAGTGTGACTGACCCTGGGTCTGGTGAACTTGATTGTTGTGCTCCTCTGCCTCGACCTGGGGAAGCTGCGCTGGCCTCCTCAGCCCAGTGTGTGGGAGATAGCTGTCGTCACAGACAATCCATGCAGCATTCTGGGCCAGGGTTTCTCTGAGCTCAGTGAGACATATGTATCATGGCAGCTCCCTGGGAAACACTATTCCTCTCCTGTGGTCATGCTCCAGTTTCACAGTCTTTATGGTTTACAAATGCGACTGCCTGTTCCTGGGGCATTTATCACATTCTTTATGTCCTCTGTAACATTCTGTGAGATGCCATGTATTGCTAGGTGAGTCCTGGAAGCCAGTGCTGGCACAGAAAGGGCTGTAATGGTGACGGTGTCTGGCACTCTCCCAAAAAATTCACAAGGCAGCAGGTCTTGATGAACAATCTCTATCCTGGCACATCCTCAGATGTCTCTGGCATCACCTCTTGGATACCTGGTTGGAGTTCACTCTTATCCTCTGGTGCCAGTGTCTATCTTTGCCAGTTCCTTTCCTGGATATATGCCTCTGTATCAGCCTCATCCTCTGGGTACTGCTGCATGTTGGTCTCCTAGTCTACGCTGGCACAGAGGCCTGCTTATGGCGCTGTGTGAAGAGACAGTCAGACATGTGCGAGCTTTCTCACCCATGGTTCCCTCCATTTAACACATTACCAGGAGACTTTTTAATTGGCTAATTGTGTACAAAATGTATTTCACACACGCAGGATAACCCTCCTCCCACTTCAACTGGCTTTATAGATACTGAATCTGCATTTGACACAAAATCCTAAAGGTACAGTGTGTGTGATTTTTGAAACTCATTCCTGCTCCATATCCCATCCTGAGGGCTCCAAAAATACTCCCAGTCAACAACATAATTTAGCAAAATATGATTCGGTGATCATCCCACTGCACAGGGCAGGAGACAATTTATTTTCAGTATGTATGATTGTGGAATATTTTTCTGCAGAATCACTTACCCTTGGCCCCATGGCTCCTTCTAGGCTTCCCTGTTTATTAACAGAATGGATTCAATTTTTTCTGGAAGTTTCTAATCACAGACATAATATTTTTGAAGACAGAAATCCCAACCAACAAGAAATTTCCAAAAAATGATTGCCACCTCTGGCTTGATGCATTCCTTGAGGTTGAAACATGACACCCACACACCCACACACACACAGACACACACGCACACACACACCCACACACAGACACCCACACACAGACACACAGACACTCACAGACACATACACACACAGACACACACAGACACACTCACAGACACTCACAAACACACACACCTCCCACACACCCCCCCACACACACACACACACTCACGCACACACTCACCCACACCCGCCCACACCCATACATATACACACACACAGACACACACAAGAAGACACAAACATCCTACACACGCACAGAGACACATATATACACCTATACACAGATGCATATTCACTCATATCCAGACAGACATATACATACAGATATACATTCAAACATGCATGTCCACAAACATACACACATCCACATACACATGCAGACACAAATACACATATGCATGTCTACACATATATGAACACACACTGCCCTCGGCATACATAAATAGACACATACATGCACATATACACTAGCATACATTACAGAAAGACAACAACACTGCAGTCATCTCGATTATATCTCTCTCTCCCTCTCTTCCCTAGTTTGTGTTCCTCTCACTCCCTTCCTTCCTCAGTTTGTGTTTCTCCCTCCCTCCTCCACATTGTGTTCCTCTGTCTCTCTACCTCCCCCGGTTTGTGTTCTTCTCTCTCTCCCTGCCCCAGTTTGGGTTCCTAACTCCCTGTTCCAGTTTGTGTCGCTCTGTCTCTCCCTCCCTCCATCAGTTTGTGTTCCTCTCCCCCTTGCTATTCCAGTTTGTGTTCTTCTCTTTCTCCCTGCCCCAGTTTGGGCTCTTCTGTCTCTCTCTCTCGCTCTCTCCCCACCACCAGCTCCCCCCCCCACCCCAGTCTTTCTTCTTCCTTCCCCCTGTTTATTTGCTTTTTTCACTGGACTCAGTGGAGTCACCATACAGCATAACAGCACCTCCTTCATGGCTTTTATGAAACTGAGAGAAACCCACAGGAGAAAACAGGTTGACGTTACAAAAACTATCATTTCTCATTTCAAGCACAGTGATTGTGCACTCACTTCACCTGGAAAATTCGTCATCCCTGTGCATTTAGTTATGGCACCAACTTGAGAGTTCAAGTATGAGTATGAGTCATTTATAATGTGAGTCCTGATGTCAATGGGGTGTTGGAGCGTGGAAGTACCTTGCATGATGTGTGACCCACTTTCCAGCTGAGTGAGAGTAAAGACTGAACAAATTGCCCAGTGCCTGATCCAGCATGTGCCAAATTTGCAATCTAGGAAATATGCGCCCGAACAGGCCAAGAAAATAAATTGATTGGAGCAAGTCCCTTAACAAAGTCAGTCACGCCACCCCATAAGACTAATTAGAGATTCATCATAAACTGAAACCCAAACAAAATTATAATTTAAACAACGTGCAGAACTGAGTGACAAGACTGGTTAGCTGAGAGCCAATAAAGTTACACATCTTCAAATCACTGAATTGTCTACACATTGTGGTTCTCAAGTAGAGGGCATCATTGGCACTGGGGGTTGAACGCTGACACAGTGACTTATAATTGGTAATCTGCCATCTTGCTTTGTCTTCAGCATTGAGAATATCTTTGGCACTGCCATAATTGACTAGCCTGGTGATATACATGAGGTAGAGACGGTTTGGCTTGCCTATGAGTGAGATAGTTGTTTAAGAATAGGATAATTGGGGCGGTAGCTAACCAACTGGGCATTGATCTGCAGTCTAGTTGGTAAACTTGTGCAATGTATTTCTACTTTCTTTTCTATTCCTGTTATCTGCTGAAGGCCATGGTTCTTGGGAAGGTTTGGCTCCATGGAAACAAGCCTCACCATAAGCAGGTGGCCACTCATTCTGTTGGAGTCTAGCTCTGAAGGTGATAGGACACTTGAGGTTTCTGGCAATCGTTGCAAGAATTGTAATGTGATTTACATTATTTTAATTTCTAACAAAGACAGGACAGTGATGTAGACACAATCATTTAAGTCATTATATTTAAACTTCTTGTTCTTTGAGCAGAGCAGTCAATAGTGTTGGAACATCAAAAATTATTTTCACCAAAGCAATTGCTCAGAAAACAATTAAAACAGCTTGTATCTATACAGAACCTTTGTTAAGGTATAGCCCAAGGCACTTAACTGGAGTGCTGTCAAAAAGATTTGATGCCAAGCCACAAGAGATATTAGGGCAGATGGTCAAGATTGTTCAAAGAACTGGGTTTTAAGGAGTTTCATAAAGGAGAAATGATTTCTGAAGAAGCGTCTAGGCCCGAAACATCAGCTTTCCTGCACCTCTGATGCTGCTTGGCCTGCTGTGTTCATCCAGCTCTACACCTTGTTATCTCTGTTAATCCCAGAGCTGACAGGCAAGGCAGCTGAAGGCCTAGGCCCACCAATTGTGAAATGTTTAAAACTAGGGATGCTCAAGAGACCAGGCATTAGGTGAAAAGCGGGTACCTCAGGAGAGGTACTGAAGGAGGGGCCAAAGTCATGGAAGGAGTTGAAAACAAAGATGAGGAGTTTAAAATGTTACTCTAAGTGGTAATGGAAGGCCAGAGAGTGCAGGGGCGATGGGTGAATGGGAAAAACATTGATTGTAAGTAACAGTGTGGTATGAATGGGCATGGAGTCTTTCATTTCTGTTTGATAATCAGTTCAAACATTAGATAGGCTGTATTCCACACGAAATAATCCAGAAAAGAAAGAAAAAATAAGAAATGTCATGGTTTATTTAGAAGTAAATAACAACCTTTGCTGTCATCAGGGCCAAACGACATGAGAGGACTTGGAGAAGTCAGCTTCACAGGTTGTCCTTAACTCCCTGCACAGTAACATCTGAGAGAGTGCAGCACAATCTGCGTGGTTGGTTTCAGCACTGAAGATTAATGCTTTGCCAATAATAAATGAAACAAGCAATCACGCATACTAGTGTATCTAATAGGAATTGCAATGGATCTAACTGTAATTGTAGGGTATCTAATTGTAATGACAGTATATTTAATTGCAATAATATTGTAATAACTAGTAGTGTATATAACTAATAATAATGTATCATATTATAATTATAACTAGTGTATCTAACTGTTATAGTATAACTAATTGTACTAATATTGTATCTAACAGTGATAACAATGTATCTCGTTGTACAATTTTGTGTACGGGATAAGGAGTTGTCCAGTATCTCTGAGTGCAACACTAACTAGTTCCTGGCACAGATACCTCAGCCATGAGTCAGACAGGGATCAGTGTAGACTGAGGATTAAGCCCAGGCTCTTCTGCTTTAATGACTCAGTTGCACACTGGGAAGTCAGGTCAATACAATCAGGTCAGACACAGCCTTGTATCCTTTCTGTGTGTCTGACTAGTAACAGATGTAGATGAGAGTAATCGATAAATCAGATGAAAAACTGAGACACTGAGAAAGTGCAGCAGCACAGACAAAGAAAACAGAAATCACCTTATATCCAGCAGGGATGAGGGTACGGTTCCCTTTACAGATTCAGCAGCTTTGACTTACTAACAGTGAAGAAGGCTAATACTCACCGGCTCCCCCTTCTCTCCTTTCTGCCCTTGTGGACACTGGAAGTAAAGGAGAAAGGATCATCAGTGTTGTCCATTTGGGGAAATTTTATGGGTTACAAATATCAGGGTGGGGGGAGTGATTGGTTTCAAGCATGAAGGCAGTAATGAAGTCACAACCTGTACCCAAACCAGGAGCTCCACAGCTGGCCTAGAGAAGGGCTTCATGATTTACCTCAACATGGGCCAGCCAAGAACACCAAACACATCTCCAATTTAATTCCAACTTAAAATGGTGGCTCTCAGATCATTGCTGAGGGTGAGGGTGGAAGGAGACCAACAAACAGCAGAGGTGCAGGCGTTAGAATTATAGCTGGCATTGACCAGAGGACTGTGAAAGTGACAGGAACTCCATAACCATCCAGGTAACCGAACAAAATATAAAACCAAAATAATTTTAACTTTGATTAATAAGACTTCTGTAAATTTGGCTGTACTGTGAGTTTATGTTCTCTTAATATTTACACATATTGCATCAGGTCATCAAACACCTCCCAATGGAGTGCTTAAATCAGGAATGACCAGAGCCGTTCCTGCTGTCGTTAAACCTGGGTTCTCAATACTTTTTGCCATCTATAACCGACTCCTAGTAAAAGTATACAGATCAAATGAGAGGCTACTTAATCCAAGTAGAATACTTACTGTTCCTTCCAACATACAAAATTCCACAGGTCCAAACCCTTTCTATACACGAGCACTGTATAAAATCTGAATGGGATTGAATGGGAAGACACTTGACCCACTGAGATTCAGCACAGTGGGACTAATGGGAATTGGTGACTTCCATGTCCTTATCCAAAACCCCACATACCAGGCCTTGTCATCACTAGGGCTGCTACCACACACTTCCCATTGTCAGCCTCTAGAAGTCCCCATTGGCAGCTATTCACTCTCCCAGGCTGCACTTTACCCAGCCTTTTGTCTGTCCAACTGTGTTTCTCTCCCTTTGGGCTCTATCTCCACCTACTGTTTACTTCTCCAGCCCTGACCCCTACATCATTTTCTGCATATGTACTAACCCTTTCCTAGCTACCATCAGTTCTGAAGAAAGGTCACTGGAACCGAAACATTAATTTTGCTTTTGCTCCTCAGATGCTATAAGACCTGCTGAGTTTTCCCAGCAATTTTTGTTTTTGTTTCTGATTTTCAGCATCCGCAGTTCTTCTGTTTTGTTTTAATCTTGATGATTACGCCTGGTTCCTGAGCATCACTAAATGCTGTGATGATATTTGAACATGTCACTTCCAAGACCCTTAAATATCAATTAGGGATTGTTTACAGCCATGAAGATAGGAGAATGATTGTTACTTACCACAATGCAGCCTTCATGCTGGAGAGAAAATGCAAAACAAATTAAAAAGGTGTTGGAACAAATCACTCCAAAATCAAAACTGTTCACTTTACCATTAACATTGTACAAATTCAGAAAACGTTTGTGTGATCTCAGCTGCAGGACAGCTCCAAATGGGTATGGCACTGCCTCAGTTAACCCATGCCACCTCATAGTAGCTAGCACCAGAATGATACATGAATAGTATCACTGAACAAACTGCATGCCCGCATGATTAGTCAGAGATTGAACCATGATAATGGGAGGGGCTGCAGAACCAGAAGGACCAGCTCCAATATATACCTTATAGAATGCCCATTATCAGCCAGGATGGAAGCAGTAGGTACTCGAACTGGTCCTGGACTGTGTGAGATAAAATCAGTCAGGGTTTAAGCTCTGGATTTTTGCCCAGCTATATAGCACACATCTGAAGATGGTACCAGGCTTGCAGTCCACAGCTGAACAGCCTTCCATAACTGATAGATACAAAGATTAATCACGCTGCCTTTTATACTTAAGAATGTAAGAAACAGAAGCTGGAGTAGATCATTTGGCCCAAGAAGCCTGCTCCATATAATCATGGCTGATCTTGGGCTCTAACCTCACATTCTCAACCACCCCCCACATCCCTGAAAAACCTAACATCTGTCTTGGTCAGTCTTAAATATATTCATTGATGAAGCATAGGACATAGTTCAAATCCTTCAATAGTGGATGCTGAAATTTGAATTTAAGATGGTCAAATGTTACAAAAACTGATCTGGTTCACTAATGTCCTTTGAAGAAGGTAATCTGCCTTCCTTGTCTGGTCTGGCCTACATGTGACTCCAAACCCACAGCAATATGGTTGATGCTAAAACTGCTCTTTGGGCAATTAGGAATGGGCAATAAACGCGAGTGCTGAGAGGTGACAGCTTTATCCCACACAAGAAATAGAGAAAATCCACAACCGTTTGGGGTAAAGAATTCCAAAGACTCAAACCCTTTAAATAAAAATTTCTCTTCATCTCTGCATTAAACATTTAGTCCCGCACCTGAGGCTGCCCCTGTGTTCCAGATTCCCCAGGCAGAGGAAAACAAGCTCTCTATATGTAACTTGTTAAGCCTGTTCAAAATCTTTATGTTTCAATTAAATTAGACTCTCATTTCTCTAAACTCCAAACAATATCAACCCACAACAAAGATTGGGAAGGAAATAAATATTGGCCAGGACTGAAACCCCCACATCCAACGTTAGAATAACATTTCTCCTCCAACAAAACAAGCCCAACTTTTTCTTAACTCTTTTTAATGTTCCTTATGACACAAACTCACTTGAACTTATGTTTGTCTCCGTGATTAAAACCAATGAAGACCAATAAAGTTTTACAGATGGAGACAAACATATCTAATGGACTTCTGGAATATTTACAGACTGTATTTTACCAGGCGGTAAGGGACTCTCCACTTTTAAAAGCCTAGCTAGTAATTTTATTGTACCAGAAATGTAATCATAGAAGATAATGACCCATAAAATTGGATCCTATTCACAATCCCAATCATAAAAAATATAGAATAGAATAGATCATTGAATCACTGCAGTGTGGAAGCAGGCCATTTGGTCCATCTAGTCCCCACCAACTCTATAGATAGCATCCCACCCTAATCTCTCACATTGCATTTCCCATGGCTATTCCACCATTCCTGCACACCATGGGCAACTTAGCATGGCCAATCCACCATAACCTGCACATCCTTGGACTGTGGGAGGAAACTGGAGCACCCAGAGGAAACCCACGCAGATACAGAGAGAACGCGCAAACTCCTCACAGACAGTCGCCCGAGGGTGGAATCGAACCCGGGTCCCTGGTGCTGTGAGGCAGCAGTGTGAACCACTGAGCCACCACATTTTCAGCCAGATAAAGCACCCAGAACTGGACTTATTTTCAGGCACACTATAAAGAATGAAAACAGAAATTGCTAGAGATACTCAGCAGGTCTGGCAGCATGTGTGAGAAGAAAGCAGAGTTAATGTTTCGAGTCCAGTGACTCTTCAGTTCTGATGATCAACTGATGCTACCAGACGTTCTGAGTTTCTTCAGCAATTTCTGTTTTGTTTCAGATTTGCAGCATCTGCAATACTTTGTTTTATTTTACACTGTAAGGAATGTTTATCATTGGTATCCGATGATGTAGTGAGTACAGAGATGAGATGCTGTTGTTGCTGTTCCTGCCCCTGTTGCTTCCCTCCATAGTTGCCAAATTTTATCAAGAGCATTTGGCAGCGTTTGTTGATGGTATTGGGTTGGGATAAATTCTATCTGGTCCATGGCACGAGCTGGCCTAACTCTAGCTGTTATACTGGGCTCTTCAACTCCTGGTAGTGGTCAGCTGTTGCACTACATTGTGCTGTAGATACATTGATGGGACAGAAACAAGTAAAGGAACTTAGGCCTGAATCTTGCTGAGATAGACTGACTCAGAGCCTTTTCAAAGTGGCATGTAGGACCAGATTCCGAACAGAATTCCCATTTTCAGGAATTTTTATCAGCACTGCTTATGGATTTGGGGAGGTCCATTTACTCACATAATCTGTGTTTGAAAACTTGCTGCAAGTTTCACATTTACTAGGACCATTAGTAATTTTCTGAGAAATGACAAAGGCCTGTGGAGATGTAAAGTTGGGACGAGAGCACTGACATTTCCTATCAGGTCAGGGAGAAAATGCTCTTGCTTGGGAGAATTATAAACTGCGAGGAGAACAGCATAGGACTTCAAAAGGACAATTACACATTCGTGGAATGGGTGGATATGTGGCAGATGAGGTTCGATGTGGAAAAATGTGAGATGATGCACTTTGATAAAAAGAACATGGAGTGATAGTATAAAGGCTACTATTCTAAAGGGTGTACAGGAGCAGAGAGATCTGGTTGTACACTACCATAGTGTTAAAGGTTTGGATGGTGAAGAATTTGTCAAATGTGTTCAAGAAAATTTTCTTTATCAATATGTGACTAGAGCTGGAGCAAAACTAGACCTTCTTTTGGGCAATAAGGCAGAGCAGGTGACTGAAGTAAAAGCAGAGGAACACTTTGGGATAAACCTTCCGTAAAAGTTAAAGATTTTAATGGATGTAAGGCGGATTTTAACGGTATGAGACAAGAACTTTCAAAACTGGGTTGCAGTAGACTGTTCACTAGTAAAAGGACGTCTGACAAGTGGAAGGTGTTCAAGAGTGTGATGACGAGAACTCAGAGGCATTATGTTCTTGTTAGAGTGAAGGTTCAGGCTGGTGAGATTAATGAACGATGGATGAATAAAGATATTGAGGATTGAGTCAAGAATAAAACAGAATCTTATTTTAGATATAGACAACTTGCTTAAGCAATATAAAGAGTGTAGGGGCATTCTTAAGGGAGAAATCAGGAAGGCAAAGAGGGGATATGTGATAGCATTGGCAGATAAGGTTAAGGATAGTCCAAAGAGATTCTACAAATACATTAAGACCAACAGGGTAACTAGAGAAAAGGAAGGGCCCCTTAAAGATCTAGGGAGTCATCCTTGTGTTGAACCTCAGGAGATTGGAGAGATTCTAAATGAATATTTCACATCTGTTTTTACTGCGTAGGAAAAAATGGACACTAGAGAATGCAAATAAATTTTGATGTTTTAAAAATAGTTCACATTACAGAAGAGGAGGTTCGGGAGGTCTTAGAGAATATAAAGGTGGATAAATCTCCGGGATGTGATCCAATGTATGCCAGAACGTTGTGGGAAGTAGGAAAGAAATTGCAAGACCCTTTGCAGAAATATCTGCATCATCTATAACTACGGGTGAGGTGCCTGATGACTGGAGGGTGGCTAATGTTCTACCTTTGTTTAAGAAAGGTTGTAAGGAGAAACCGGGGAACAATAGACCTGTGAATCTGACTTCAGTTGTGGGTAAATTGTTGGAGGTGATTATAAAAGATAGGATTTATGGACATTTAGACAAACAAAAAATTATAGTCAGCATGGTTTTGTGCAAGGAAAATCATGTATCACAAACTTGATTGAGTTTTTTGATGAAGTTACCAAAAAGGTTGATGATGGCAGAGCAGTAGACATTGTTTATTTGGATTCTAGTAAAGTCTTCGACAAGGTTCCGCATTGTAAACTAATTAGTAAAGTTAGGTCACATGGGATTCAGGGTGAGCTTACCAATGAGATACATAATTGGCTTAATGGCAGGAGACAGAGATTGGGGTAGAGGGGTGTTTTTCGGACTGGAGGCCAGTCACCAGGGGTATTCCGCAGGGATCACTTCTGGATCCTCTACTGTTTGTCAATTATATAAATGATTATAAATACAGAAGGCATGGTTAGTAAGTTTGTGGATGACACCAAAACTGGCAAGCTTCTGCATGGTAGACTAATTAGTAAAGTTAGGTCACATGGGATTCAGGATGAACTTGCCAACTGGGTACATAATTAGCTTCATGGCAAGAGACAGAGAGTAATGGTGGAGGGTCGCTTTTCAGACTGGAGGCTTGTGACCAGTGGTGTTCCACAGGAATTGGTTCTGGGTCCTCTTTTGTTTGTCATTTATATAAATTAATTGGATTAGAAAATAAAAGGCAAGGTTAGTATGTTTGCAGATGACACCAAAATTGGTGGCATAGTAGACAGTGAAGAAGGTTTTCTAAGATTACAAAGTGATCTTGATCAAATGGGTCAATGGGCTGAAAAATGGCAGATGGAGTTCAATTTGGATAAATGCATTTTGGTACAACAAACAAGGGTAGGGCTTATACAATTAATGGTAGGGCCTTGGGTAGTGTTGTAGAACAGAGGGACCTTGGGGTTCAGGTATATATTTCTTTGGTGTTTGCATAATGCATATTTAGAGTGGTTAAAGAGGCTTTTGGCACACTTGCCTTCATTGCTCAGTCCTTTGAGTGTAGGACTTGGGAAGTCATATTGAGGTTGTACAGGATATTTGTGAGGCCTCTTCTGGAGTATTGTGTCCAGTTCTGGTCACC